TAAGCATATCAGTATTTGAACACCCCATTCCTCTAGGGACCTCTTGAATGATTTACTGCAAGATGCAGTGTCAATGTCCATCAGTAATTCTGCCAGAGGTCCTTGTTCACAGAACACAGGTCAACTGGCTCACTGCACTCTCCATATCCTGCCGCCAAAGGAATCACCAGATTGTGAATCGAGTGGGACCACAGTCAATGAGTGTCAAATAGTGCCTGCCGTCATAATAGGTGATGTCCATTCCCAGTCACTGTTACACATCTTCCACTTCCAGTCTTCCTGTTGGCCACCTTGCCAGGTGCAAGTCAATGGACTGACATTACTTATATATTTTGACCACCATTCTCACTTGTACCTTTGTCACTTGAGGATCGACTTGCTTTGTAAAGTACCATGTCCTCTTGATACCAGAATGCCTGCTTTGCTGATGCAAATTTAATCTGTTTGTACTCATGCTCTTCTATGGACACAGCAGGTGTTGTTACTTGGCTCTACCTCCCACTTAAGCATGTTGAACCACCTCTGTGGCACTCAAATCAACCAGTCAGCAAGGTTTCACTCTGATGCTACCAACATTGCTTCCACTGACAGACCATACTCAGTGACTAACTTCTTGATAGTCTCCAATCTTCTTCTAATCTCGCTACCTTGCTCCAAATCTTGGCCTTGTCTGTTAATGTGTCTGATGTCCAATGGTACCTGCATAGTGAGTATGTTCGCAGGTGCAGCCTCTTGGCTTTCCACTGAAACGCCAGATTGACATCTTTTAACACAGCGTCCAACTCTGCCAAGTTAATCTGTGCTACATATTAATGGGGCATTACCAACATGCATCCTCCAATATGGATCAGTCCCCTTCTAGCAAGACACCGATTTCAGAAGAACTCACATCAACCCATTCTTTTCCTAAACTTTGATATTTGTCATTCACATCAATATTTACAATAGAGTGGGAGATTTGGGGGGGGTATGCTAATGTTCACCCAGTACAAGGCTCGAGAGCCACTCAATGTAGAGGTCTACTGTGTGGTGTTGTATGAGTATAAGAAAGAGAAAGAAGTGAAGTTCATGAATCTATGCAGGAAAGAAAGCTATTAACCCTAGACTGGAAGAGGTCCAGTTTGTAATTATTGGGAAAACATTCTACCAGGGGTCTGTTCCACAAAGCAACAGTTCTTGGGAAGAAGCTGTCCAAATGGAACTTACTTCTTCTTATAGGAATACAAATGGGGATGCTTCACTTTTGTGCGGATGGCATGGTAGGACCCAGTTGTAAAGGTCAAGGGTGGTGGGAATATCACTTATCAGAACATACACCATGGAAGTAGTGATAAAGCATCGAGAGGCTTGCAATGCTCCAACTGTGGAAAAGAGGTTGTGGGGTTGACACTTTTGAAAAAAAAGAACAGTGTGGCCATGAGTACTCATCTCATCTTGCATTTGTTATCTACAGCATTAACCCTTGCTGCAGATTTTGAAATAGATACAAATGTCATTTGTGGGCTTAAAGGTCAATACATTTTCATCCAAGTGTAAGTGGAACTGTTTCTGAACCTGAACTCTGATGTCACTACATGCCTGGTCAGTGAACACTTGGGAATACCAGTGTTGTAAGAATGGATGTTCAAGTTGTATAATGGATAATGTCTCAGAATTGGAAATCGGAGAGCCAAGTTCCAATTCCAGTCAGGTTCATGATACACACAAATACCCTTGGGAAAGATATGAATCCACCTCCAGATATGGGTTAATTAGTAGAATGTGTATCATATATGTTGTGAAAATTGGAATGAAAATAATCACTCACCTGATCGCAAACGGCAATGTATATGTTCTGCGTGCAAGGTTTTTGTTTTTTTTTTGACTGGAAAAAACATGGCTGCTTATATTGCAAATGATCACATATCCTCACGCAGGCGGTCGCGTAAAACCACGGAAAGTGAATTCACGCATACAAATGAAGGAAGGCAGAAAAGGACATAAAAACGCCAAACACTTGTTACTCAAAAAAATCTTTTGCAACATTGAAGAAGAATCATGTAAAGGAGAAAGCAGAGGCACAGGAAGAGATTATTGAGTAAATTGAGGGAGTTTATCAGTCGTTGCAGTTTTACACCAGGCGTACCAAGTGAATAGTGCATTTGTTCAGGAAGTTTGTCAGTCGTCGCAGATTTACCCCTGGTACAATATATATATATATTGACTATCACTCAAATACCCTTTGGACATCGACAGGTGTCTATTAATTTGAAATGAGGAATTGTCACTATTCTTTGACTTAATTGGTTTATTTAAATTAGTGTCTCATCTTGACTATTAAATTTGATTTATTTGGGCAGCAATTGTTTTTTTAAAAATGTATTGTTAGAAACAACAGAGATTTTGTGTCTATTTAATGATTGTTTTTTTTTTTTGTTTTGTTTTTCTAATTATAAATATCCCTGTGAAAATGTATTTGTTGTGTGTGGATTAACAGGTTGTGGAGTCCCACTCTTTCAACTGACAGTAGTCATTACGAGCATAAGGTTAGAAAAAAACATTAACTCTTTTAAGTAAGTGTCGTTTTTGGGGTTTTTTTTTTAACTAAATTGAATAAATCTAATCTTGATTATTAAAGATGTTATTATCATCAAAGAATCATCAAGTCATTCATACAAATCTGCTGTGATAACCAAAAATAAATTTCATAATTATCTGACATTGGATTTAAAGGCACCAGAAACATACCATTGATATCTGTTAGCATAGTGGTGTAGTAGACATAGATGTTGATTAACCAAATATTGCTGTCATCTGGTAAACATAATAATAAATAAAAAAAAAGTTTTCTGAACTGAAAGTGAATGAAAAGCACCAAAAACATCTTAATGCCAATATATCCTGATTTAAAGTATGGAAATAACTTATTTTATGATATCAATAGATATATGCTTTACTTCTTTACATTAAAAGAGAAATTTCTTCCATAAAATATACTCTGAATACAAAATTAATAATTAATACTAAAGAGGTATAAGAAGGTTTATTGTTCCACTGGGCTTCATAGTTAACACATTGCATGAAAATTTGAAGTAAAACAGGTGTAGTTTGTTTTTAAAATAATAAGTGTATTTTTTATTATACATACTCGTTTATTCCTCACATTTATTTCAAAATACATAACAGCAAATCAGCATGCATCTATTTATTTACCATAAAGTCATGTGACACTTATAGCGACATTGTTCACCTTTCAAGTAATTGTTTATAGAAAAAGATTCTAATGTAGTGTAGTGAATTGTATAAATATATGTTGTATTATGCATATTTAAATTTATTTAATAACGTTATTATAATGTATTATGAATGTTAATTATTTTTCAAACCCATAATAGTTGGAATATAATATGCAAGTTTTTGTTTATATACACAGATTAATATATGTGTATTGAAAACAAATACTTAATTTCCTATTAAAAATGCTATAAAAATAGAAAGATAGCCCTAGTTCAAGAACCCATTGTCTAATTTTAATCAAATTTGGCAAAGCATTTGGCAGGAATTCAAAGTACAATATTCTGCTAAATTGGTTATGTATTAAGTTTAAGCTGTATCTCTGGAACACACACATACATACAAAATTAGAATTTTAGTATTATATAGATAATTCAGACAGAAATATATGAGAGTCATTCCATGTCAAATCAACAAAGGTCTGACCATCACAAACACAGATTTTTTTCAAATTTGGTACACTTATAGAGCTTCATGATAAAAATTGAATGGTATCTATTTTCCATCCCTGGGCCAAAGGATAATCAAGATATGACCCTTGCCAAAAAAGGTGAATTTTGGAAAATAGTCACAAAGTTTATATATCAATATCTCAGTTATTTTTCACCTACAAAGCTAAATTATATGCCAGTTTTAAAGTATTTGGATAGATCTAAAAGGTGATCTATTTAATTTTTTTGTTTAAAGGTCAAACAAGATAATTTGTCCATCACCATTGACCTTTAATTTCTCAAAATGTGTATCTTTAAATTTTTTTAAAATATGACAACAAATTTGTCTGCCTTATAATAAGATATGTACAAAACTTGTTGATGGACTTTTGACTGTGGCCTGAGTTACAAAGGGTTTACTGAGTTGGGCCAAATTCAAAATAGCAGCTTTTGCTATTTGCCACTATATGCTAACATTTTCATATCTCCCAATATACTCAGTAAAATCCTTGTAACTCTGTCAAAAGTCGACCACAAAGTTTTGTATGTATGTGAGTTTAATTTTAACAGATCCCCAAATGGAGCTCATGGCAGGTAATGGGTTAATGATAATATTAGCTGTTTCTTTATAAGGAAACAATTGGTATTTATTGACCAAGCATTTAGACTTGCTTTTCAGTTGAAATTTATAAAATCTTTTTCTTAAAACAATTTTTTTTTTTAGAAAAACAGAATTTTCAAATCCAGCTGCTGTTACTGTTCTTTCCAGCAATGATGTTGGTTTCCTTCCTTACCATTTTTTGGCGGGGTATTGTGGAACATCAGCATCTTGATTATATCATTCTTCTCTCTCCAAGTTACATGTGCTATCCATTTTAGTTGTTGCTGCTGTTGGAAGTCCTCAAGTGATGTGGTTTCTGTTATCAGTAAAGTCACTGAGAATATGTGGATGAAATATAACAGATTCTCAGTGACTTTACTGGGCAATCGAGGAATATGAATGTTATATGTCAGCCCATTTCAGGAAATAAACATCGAACAAATCTTAAAAAGCACTAACATACAGATTGACTATTCTGGGTTCAGTTCAAAATTAAAATAATATCACCTGAAGAAGGCTGGGGTGTAGAATGGCCAAAAGTTATGAATGTGACAACAATGATGAGGCCAACAGTCTAAACCATGTAAATAGTTACAATACCTCATCTCAGAATTAAAGACAGATGTTGAAGACTTTACATTACACAATAGCTTATTGGAACGCTTTTATTACATACAAGATGCTTCTCTTTTCAGGCAACTCCGATGAAGGACGTGGTGATCTCGGAGAAAGCTCCCACGACACTTCTGCTACAGAAACATGCTGATTTCATAGCTGCTTATGGGACCAAAAAGGATGACTATGTAAGTATCATATGCTTAAATTCCTTTCAATTCCAGTTACGTGCTAATACCCTTGGGAAAGGTATGAATCTTCCTCTTCTCCCTCCAGCTATGGGTAAATAGCAGGACAGACCAGGTTCTATAGCCTTGGATGGCAACTGGTCTACCTCAGAAAGAAATGGCAACCTACTGCGGGGGAAAAAAATCTGCCTCGTCAATCATGTATCGAAAGATACGTGATCGCCTAAGCGTGTATGGCACATAACTGACTGAATATTTTAATCAGTGACTAATGACACACAAGCAAGGTGGATCTTGTCAGCAATGGTAATAATAATTTTTTTTTTTTAATCTGATGTTCACCCTATACAAAGCCCAAGAGCCACTCAAGTTAGAGACTTACTGTTGATGGTTATTGTGTAAGTGGTAAGAGTAAGTGGTGCAATTTATACGGATATGTGGTAAAGATAACGATTAACCCTAGGCTTCAACAGGTTAAGATTGTAGTGATCAGGAAATAAAAGCATCCTCCTGGGATTCTGTTCCACAGAGCAACAGTTCTTGAAAAGAAGCTATCCAGATGGAACTTGCTTTCTTACTAAAGGAATATGAAGTGAATAGGGGTGGTTTGCCTCAATGTACATGGTGGGCAGGCTTTAGCTGGGAGGGTTAGAGTTGGCAGAACTAAGGAGATCCATGTGAGGCTTGTAACTTTTCATATGTGGGAAAGGTGTTGTAAGGTGGAAAACAGTTCATCATCCACAAGGCTGTGTAGACACTTTTGGAATCTTTCAAGACTGGACAGTGGAGACTTACTATCTGGACAAAATAATATAGCTGTAAGAGTATGGTATGTCCAAGTACACACGTAGTCTTTCCTCCCTTAGCTATCGTGCTGTGTCAGTGAGGAGACATTTTCTTTGTAAGATATCCAATTATTTAAGACATTTTTTTATGTTTATATGTTCTTTTTATAGATACAAATATTTAAGTAAATGCTCTGTTTATAATAAATACGATACGCATTGAGCAGATATGAATGAATGAGAGAAAATCATGGAGAATTGTATTTAAAAACAGTAAAAGCGACTTTGTTAACCGAACGCTCTTCTGGCCCAATCAGTTAAGGCATATCCGGCTAGATGATGGTTCCATATAGGATACAGGTTCGATTCCTGTCGGAGGACGCATATTTTCTATGAAAATTTTTCAGACATTCAGGCCAGTAAATGTTATTAATACTGTTTATTATGAAAAGAGCATTTACTTAAATATTTGTATCTATAATAAGAATGTATAAACATAAAAAATGTCTTAAATAATTGTCAGACTTTGTCCATTTCATAATGTAAGATATCCAATGTTAGAACATGGAACACCAGGTATTAATGAGTTAAATAACGCAACAAGAGTGGCTGCTATATCATGAAACTAGCAGTAGAGCCCGGCGTTGCCCGGGGATGTAACAGTAAGAGATAGATCAAGTATCGACCATCATAAAGACTGAAAAATAAAATTGACAAAGATTATTGTTTAAGGTTGACGGACACGCAATTCTTAATTAGTTTTTTTTTTTTTTTTATGAATTGGTCAAACCCAAGCTCAAACATTGTTTTCAATCATTATGAGTCTATCGATTGAATAGAATTTTATTATAAACAATTGTCTTGTAAATGTAATTTTTAAAGCATTCTGAATGTAAAAATAAAGAAAAAAGTGTGCAAGACAATAAGAAACACTACCTGCCAAAAACAAAAGTGATGATTTGTTGAAATCGGTTGAAAAATGTAGGAAATCCGATTCCATATATAAATGAACACACACACACACAAACAACCTGGGTTTTATAATAAGTATAACTCGATATGATGCCTCTTAATTTATTTTGTGCAAAAACAATTGTGTTTTCCAAATATTTGGCGCTGTTAGAACCACTGCAAGGTAATTTTACATAGTCCTGTGAAGTTTTGTTGAAATCGGTTGAAAAATGTAGGAAATCTGATCCAATATATAAACTTACAGACACACACACACACGCACAATCTGCGCTTTATAATAAGTAAGATTAACAGCCCCTAATGAACTACCCATAGGACACTCATAGCTGAAGATGTAAAAGCACATGTTATGGAAAAAGGTGGCTTTGTGTAAAATAAAATGGAGCCAATCCCAAGTGTCTTTCTGAGAGGATTTTACTTTACTCTGATCCATACTGTTTACTATTGGCCATAAATTGATGGCAGGTTGTAATAAAAAGCAACTGAAATTAAGATGAAGGGAAAAATTAATGGTTTTCAAATTCTTTTTTTTTTTTTTTTTTTTTTTTTTTCCTGTGAAATTTTCTGATGTCTGAAATTCTTTCTAAAATTATCTGACAGTTGTAATTTCTCAGGAATTATTTATGTTCTCTTCCTTTCTATAGGAACATTTTATTTTCACTTATTTTTCTATAGAAATAATTTATTATGTCTCTTTAGGAATGATTTATTATCACTCTATAGAAATAATTTATTATTTTTCTATGGGAATGATTAATTATCTCTCTATTGGAATGATTTATTTTCTCTCTTTCTGTAGGAAAGATTTATGTCCTCCTTTCTACATTTTTTTATTCTCACAATTATCTTTCTATGGGAATGATTTATTTCTCTTTTTCTGCAGGAAAGATTTATGTTCTCTTTCTTTCTATAGGAACATTTTATTTTCACTATTATCTTTCTATAGGAATGATTTATTATGTCTCCTTAGGAATGATTTATCTTTCTATAGGAATGATTTATTTCTCTTTTTCTGCAAGAAAGATTTATGTTCTCTTTCTTTCTATAGGAACATTTTATTTTGTCTTTCTTTCGACAGGAATACTGTATGACAGAGTATCTACGCATGAGTGGCATTTACTGGGGACTCACAGCTCTTTCTCTTATGGGCAAACTGGACAAAGTTGATAAGCAAGAAGTTTTGGACTTTGTAAAAAAATGCCAGCATGAAAATGGAGGATTTGCTGCAAGTCTAGGACATGACCCTCACCTGCTGTACACACTCAGTGCCATTCAGGTAAGTTTATTTGCATTATGCCAAGTGAGTAGAGTGTTGGCATTTCAACTATGTGTGTGTGAATGTGTTACATTAAAAGTAACAAGGTATTTCTGTTAAATATTTCTTCTTTTGGACTGAGTGTGTGTGTAGAAATTCTTCAAATTATTGTTCATTCCACATGCTTTTCAAAATGGCTGACTTTATATCTCTCAGACCATAACTCCATAAGAACCCATTCAAACGAACACGAAAGTTTACCAACTTCAATGCACAAAAAAACTTGCCAAAAACATGAATATAATACATGTCTCTAATTATAAAAAACTACTAAAAATAATTGAAGCCTTCACCATAAACCTTCATCAACATCAATTATGAACATGGCCACAATTTACTGGCCATATTAAGGAATTAAAAACATATCTACTTTTCAGCAACTTACATGCCATTTACAGAATACTTGAGAATAAATGAGAGATAAACCGAAAGCACTTGGAATGAACAATAATTTGGACAATTTCTACACACACTCAGTTCAAAAAAAAATCTCTTGTTCACTCACAAGAAAAACAGAAAAAAAATGAACAGAAATATCTTGATGGTTATTTTTAATGAAGTATTCATTAGCAAGGGATTGCTGCCCAAATACGCAACAATCTAGGTGTGTGTGTATAAAAATAACAAAGAATGTGTTACCTAAAAAAAAATTGGTTGAGCAGGGCAATTCTAGAAGATAATACATTTAAGGCAAGCAGTTTGTAATTAAAGTGCTCAGTATCAAAAGATAGAACATTACTAACAGTAAATCAAATAAAATCTTCAACTTCAGCAGTTTTTGTTTTTTATATACACACTTCAGTGTATTACTACTTTCCTAAACTAACATGACTATAAAAATGTTAAAAACTTAAAAATGGTTAAATTCATAACCTCATGTTACTGAAAATATATAACGCACAAATTAATCCTAAGCAAAAATTATTTAAATACTAATTTACATTAAAAAAAAAAAAATTTCAAGAACATTTACTCACTTTAGTTTATTAGATATTGAATTGTGTCACTTGGTGTCCTCCATAGCTTGCCTAGACTTTTCAACCAACCTGATGAATATTTATGAGCATTCTTAAGTTTAAAAATTTTGAAAAACCAATAAAATTTTTGCCCTTGTATATAAATATTTTTTACAAAATAAAATTCTTGCATCTTCCTTGATAAAGTCCCTCAGAGGACGAAACATATTGGCTAAAATAAGTTTTCCTTCTGTCTTTATTGATATATAGTTTAAAATTTACTGTATTTATAGAGAAAGAGTGCTCAGTATCAGATAATGCCAATGGTTCACTTAAAGATTGCTTGAAACTGACAGTCACCATGTAATGTTGATTTCTTTGTCCACACTATGTGTGTGTGTAGATACATACACACACACACACACACATACATATATATATATATATATATATATAAATAATGTGCAGGCTGATAGATGTAATACATGCTGTTTAAAACTAAAAACAGCATGTCCATTTCAAATATTCAAATATGGGTATCCACTAAAAATAAGGTTTGAAGGAATAAAAATATCAGATTAAAAATCAATCCATGAATTCCTTAGAAACACACGCACGAACGCGTGCACACACACACACATATATATATAACTGAATGGGTAAATATAGGTTAGTATACAATCATGTACAAATACATATAAATACTCTCTAGTGTAACAAAAATCAGTGCTCAATATTAAATAAGTGCTATTTAATATATATATATATATATATATATATATTAAGAAATATACAAAATACCTTATAATGGAAGGTATTATGTATATTCCTTTATATATATATATATATATATTATAAATTAACTGATTTAAAATGTTTTTTTTTCGCTACTCAGTGATAACCATGTTTCAAAAATGGAATCTAAAAGCTTTGAATTCAATTTTGTAATTAAATTAAAAACATTAGTCCCATTTCATCCTCAAGCTTATTTTATTACCACATAAAGTATGCTATATTTAGGGATAAAAGTGCTCAATATTAGGAATAGAGTGTGTGCAAGTATAAGAGTAGACACTGAAGTCAAGTGGCGATAGTTTGTTTCATGCTTATATGCAATCATCAGGCCAACTCATATATAATGAAATTAATCATTTTGTATTGTATCTTCAAGTCTTTTAACCACCATCAGTGTTAATATCCAAAACAATTTGCTATAAAATTTTATCAATTCTTTCCTTATGACAAAATTGATTTAATTCTTTTAAGGAGTTTTATCTTTCTTCTGGTTTCCAGATCTTGTCCCTATACGATGCTGTAGACTGCATCAACAGTGACAAAGTTGTGGAATATATAAAAGGGCTGCAACAAGAAGATGGTAGCTTTGTTGGTGATAAATGGGGTGAGTGCTTTGTTTACCTATTTTCAATGCCCATCTGCTGACAACTTCACATCAACATTATTCTTCTTGATGGTTATACACTCAAAAACAGATATACATATAAAATATGTAAATATATACACATATGTGTATATATATATAAAAACATGTGCCAATATCCATAACCACAGATATGCAGAGGTTCTAAAAGGTTCTTCGGTTCAGCCAACTTTCCTAGAACTTACCCAGTGACTAGACAACACTACTGAGGGAAAAGGTTTGCTCACAAAAATAGGGTAAAGTCTTTTTAGTTATTTATTTTTTTGTTGAGCTACCATATCACATTGAAAAATTGGTTTTTGTATGATCATCAAAGTTAAGCAATGTTGAGCTTGGTCATAGCTAGATGGTTAATCGCTTGGGAATACCAGGTGTTGTAAGCTTGGATGTGCAGCTGATGTGATTGATAATGGCTTGAATTTAGAAATTGGAGAGCCGAGTTCCAATTCCAATCGGGTTCATTATATTCACTTATGTGCAAATACCCTTGGGAAAGTTAATTTTTTTTTTTAAGCATTTCACCCCAAGCAAGGCAGGAGTGCCACTAGCATGCAAGGAGTTACAGAGAGTGGGAGCAAGAGTAAAGAGGTGTGATAGAGGAAATGATGAAGAGAAGGACGGGGAATTAGGTCAAGGCATCTGGAGATGTCGATTGACATTGCATTTGAATATTTGGAGATTATAGTTATCAGGGAAGCAAGTAAGGGAAAGGGAGTTCCACAGACAGGAGGTAAAAGAGACAGCTACATTTAACTGTTTTGACAGTGAAAGTGTTGGACTGAGATGCCAACCTAGTAGCACATTTAAATTCATGCAGTTTGGGAACCAGCAAAAGTAGCTCATCAGAGCAGTGACTGTGAAAGTATTTGTAGAAAAGACAGAGGGAAGTGACAGCACATCTGTGAGAGAGTGACTCTAAAGGAGATGCCAGATCAGGACCAATCACATTGCATACCTGTTTCTGAATTTTGTCGAGGACCTTAAGATGAACAGCAGTGGCTCCAGATCATATATGGCTGCAGTATTCCATGCAAGTGCAAATGGTTAATATGGATCTTCCTTTTCTCCCTCCAGCTATGGGTTAATTAGTAGGATTTGTATCAATAGAATCATTATTCTTTCCAAAGAATTTTTACAATCTAAAATAATTTCTGGTTTTAAATACACTGCAAAAGGTTGATAAGCCATAAAAAATGAATCAATTAATAATTTTTGCTGATTAGCATTCATTGAGCAATTATGGGATATTCTGAACTAACAAGAACATCTCTGAAGTATCCTTCTAGTCAATGTGATTAATTACCGTAAAGTAAAGGAACACAATGTTTTGTGTGCTTTGCATGTAGATGGTCATTTGCAATGCAAAAAGTGCTCATTTATGAGAGAACTTCTGATAAAACTATCTGTAAATAAATATTCATGAGTTTAACATGTATTCAAAGATCCCCTTGAAGAGGCAGGCAGTTTGCTGCCAGCAGCTATTGAGGAAAGTTTGTGATTGGCTAAAAATCTACAGTGGAAAACTTTAGAGCAGGTGTGGGCAAACTTCTTTTCTTTTCACAGGGCCATGTGTTTGGTGGGTTCGTGGCAGGCCGCAGGTATTAAAAAATACTTGAATAATGAACATGCAAGAAATCTTTTTAGCAGTGACAGTTAATACTAGCCAATAACCAGTAACTCAAAACTACAACTCTTCTGTGCCATCTCATAAACTAAATGAAATTGTGGGTTATCCCACTTGATGATCCTAAAAAATAAAACATCTCTAGCGGGTGCTGCTTAACCTATACAAATGTATGCATTTTTCTCCCTATTCTGTTTTTACTCTTTTACAGCTTTTCAACTTTGGCATTAAGATGTAGTCGCACATGGGGGGGGGGGAAGTGTCCCCCACTGGCACACATTCATTTTCATGGTTTTCTGTCTATAGCGAAGAAAACGGTGACTTACCTCATCAAACCAAGCGACAGCACGTCGTGTGTATCCTATGACGGAAAATGTGGTGAAAAAGAAAATTACTTACCCCCCAAAAAAAGGGCATGTATTCAACATGACATGCTGAAGACGGAATATTTAAATTAAAAAACAAGTCCGTCACAGGAGTCGCCATAAAAGTATTTTAATATGCAAAAATTGAGCATCCTCTCCCAGCTGTTGACAAATGGAAAAAATGCTCGTCCGATAAAAGCTCTTGGTGTTCTTGAATCGGGAAGAAAAATTGGGGTATTTTGGCTACTGCGTTTGTTCTGACTGGCTGCATGCATTGTGAGATAGTACCTGCAAATCGAGTTTTTGACATTTCTTTCGATGTTCGAGTCTGAACTTACAGTGATTTATTCTCTGCATTGTGGAAGTAATCTGCAACAAATATTTCCTTTGCAATCCCAGATCGCTTACACTGTCTTGACTTTTTTTACTCTCTCACACACAAAGAAACGACTACTGAACTGCTACATGATATCTGTCCTCCTTTACGGCAGCAAATGTTGAACAGTTTCCTCAAAGATGGAGAAGAGACTCAAGGCAACAGGGATATGGTTCTAGAGAAGGATGCTAAGGATACTATGGACCAAACATGTGAGCAACAATGAAGTTTTAGAGAGGATGAAAACAAAGAGGAAACTTACACTTAACATCGGGAAGAGGCAGCTGAAATTTCTGGGACAGGTAATAAGAAAGGAGGGCTTGGAAAATCTGATACTCACAGGGCAGATAGCGGGAAAGAGGGAAAGCAACATGTGACATACTTAACGAGCTTAAGCAAGTGGATGGCAGAACAGGGTCTGGGAGAAATAACAAAAAGACAAAGCTTATTAAGAGCTATAAACGACAGGAAGAAGTGGAGAGCCATGATCGCCTATGTTCTGAAGGGGGCACATAAAAGTAGAAGGTCTATCTGAAAAGTAAACAAGACTGGGTGTGCTATGTGAGCTTTGGGCGAAAGAGGGATAAGCTGTATTATTTAGCAAGATATCTTGGGAGTATATAACTGTAATCTTAGCTTTTTGCAACCATTGCATTTCTTTTTTCACATGCTTTTGTGGCAGGACAAACCGTGACTGCTTCACCATGATAATGCATCCGCTCAAAACACCCTGAGCATCTGGCTGTTCCAGGCTGACAAGAATCTCGCCCTACTGGAACAACCTCCCTATTCACATAGTTTTGCTCCACGCGACATTTTCCCCCAAGCTCAAGGGGATCCTCAAGAGGACACATTTTGAAGGCATGGAGGCTATCAAGACGGCCATAACGACAGAGCTGAGAGTCCTCCAAGAAGAACCCTTCCAGCAGTACATAAAAGTGTGGCAGAGAAGGATGGAAAGGTTTATTAGGCTTTGGGGTACTTTGAAGGGGAAACCATGTAGTTTGTTGTTTGGAATTGAAATAAATCGTTTGTGACACCAGTCCCATTACTTTTCAGACAAACCTCATATATGCACAACTGCCAGTTTTTCACCTGCTGCTTACCTAAGTATGAAACTTACAATCATGCCTACATTTCTTCCTTATTCAGTTTTACAGGGCAACATTCATTTTCCAACACAGATGGTGCCAAAACAGTGCTTCGTTATCTGTTTTGCCCGACAAAAGTCATGTAATACAATTCAATAATAAATAAAACCTCTGACCAACTAATTATACATCTCTACAGCATTATTTATTAAACTTTCACTGCACACAAAATGACCTGTGACCTCCCAGAGAAATTTTCCAGGCAGTTGTGTATAATTCAAATTCTTGCTGATAATTATTGTCTGGATTAAGAGAGGTGATAGAATCATTACTTACCAGAATATTGGAGGTGTATGTGCATCTAATTTGACAGACATTTTTTTTTATGTATGTCAATAGTAAAATAGCCTTTTTTTCTTTCAGTGCACTCATCAATGACTGACTCTTATCAAATATATACAAAATTCAAATTCTTACTAGTAATTATTGGCCAGATTAAGAGAGGTGACCACATCGGTGGTATATGTGCATCTGATTTACTAAACATTTTTATAATATATGTCCATATTTCTGAGATGAGGTATTGTAACTATTTACACTATTTATATCATTCAGACTGTTGTCCTTATGTTTATTGCTATATTCACAATGTTTCAGCCATTGTACACTCTGGCCTACTTCAGTATCTCTATATTTCTGAGATGAGGTATTGTAACTATTTACCTCGTTCAAACTGTTGTCCTCATCTTTATTGCCATATTCACAACATTTCAACCAATGTGCTTTCTGGCTTTCTTCAGGATCTGTCTATATATTTCTGAGATGAAGTATTGTAACTATTTACATTGTTCGAACTGTTGTCCCCATCTTCATTGCCTTATTCACAACATTTCGACCAATGTGCTTTCTGGCTTTATTCAGGATCTGTCTATATGTTTGGGATGAGGTATTTTAACTATTTACATCGTTCGAACTGTTGTCCCCATCTTTATTGCCATATTCACAACATTTCGACCAATGTACTTTTCGGCTTTATTCAGGAGTTGTCTATATTGTTGAGATGAATTATTGTAACTATTTACATCATTCAGACTTTTCTCCTCATCTTTATTGCCGTGTTCACAACATTTCAGACACTGTACACTACAGCTTTCTTCAGGATCTGTCTATATTTCTGAGATGAGGTATTGTAATTATTTTCATCATTTGGACTGTTGTCCTCATCTTTATTGCCATATTTACAACATTTTAGCCATTGTACACTCCAGCCTTCTTCAGGTAATATTCATTGGAATTTCAAACCAAATCCTTTATTTAATCCACAGGGGTAGATTGTTCTAGTTCCACATGCCATGCCTTTTCTGGATATCTCAGTTTCAGTTAATTCCCTTTAGTAACTCAAATCTCCAAATTTTTGTTCCTTCTTCTGTGGCCATAGAACTCAACTCTTTGGGTCAAGTTACTTTTTGGATTACTTCGACCAATACGTTTATCCACTGGGCCATGTGCATATCACCTGAAGAAGGCCAGAGCTTACAATGGCCGAAACATTGTGAATATGGCAATAAAGATGAGGACAACACACCGAATGATGTAAATAGTGTAAATATTTCTTTAATGTGTGTGTCAATAGCAAAACCATCTTTTTTTTTTTTTTTTTTTTTTTTTTTCCCCCATTCTTTAAGTGAGCTTACAAATAACTGACTTTTATTGAATATATACAAAATACAATGCACATAAATTTGAATGCTTAAGATTTTCTTGAATTTTTCAAATTAGGAACTTAACTTTATTTCAGGTGAAGTGGACTCAAAATTTTCCTTTTGTGCTGTAGCCACATTGATTTTATTGGTAAGTGAAGAATTCCTTACGCCTTTCAATAATTTTGAGAGGAGAGTGATTATCTTTCTGAGAATCGTTTGGATGACTGATGTCCTTCTATGTGTTGCTTTTGTTGTTGCCATTATATTTCAGCCAAACCATTCTACAGCCTTCCTCATGCATATAATCTGTATGGAAAGAGTGACACAAGAAAGATGTAAAAAAAAAATGTTGTGTATAACAGATAATAGAGGAAGAAGGAATCTTTCCACTTACCATGGGATCAGTCACATGTAGTAGATAAAAAATCTCACTGGAAGATAAGAAAACTGAAAGAAGCTGCATACATTATGAAACAATGTTTAAGTCTGTCCAAGATGGATTTTATGCTTAACAAAGGAGTGGATATCAGCCCTGCCCATAAAAAATATTGACTAACCTTTATTGTAGGGATTGCTGTGAATGGGTTGGTTCATGCAGTATATTTGACATTGCTTTTTTTTTTAAAACCAAGAGAATTCATTAAGAGGAGACTAATAAACTGATTTAAATTCATGTTGCATTAAAATATTACCACATTATGGTAATATTACCACATTATGGTAATATTACCACATTATGGTAATATTATTCTTAGTTTCTCCTCTTTTTTTATTTATTTTTCTTTTCATTTTTCTTTTAATAATTTGCAAGTTTAATTTACTTGCTTAAATTTTTTCATATACCAGCCACAATATTTGAAAAAAATTATCAAAGAAAAATATACGTTACCTGGCAAGGTTCAAACCTGCATCCCTCTAGGCATTGGGAAACCCTTGTATTGTAGTATAGCTATGGATGATAATGGGTATGTCCCCATTCACATAAATACCATAGTAAATACTGTATGTTGGTCTGCAGTTGGTGATTCATTGCAGAATTCACTTGACTCACTTGTAGCAGTTGACTACTTCTATGCACCACTGGCAAATCTTATATGTGTTGTTCTTGTCCTAAGTATTATCATTCATTACCAACCTTCGTGTGATTAATCTATTCAGTTACCTTCACTAGGTTACAACACCTAGTTAGATCTATTTCTATGCTTAACAAATGACTGGCGATAAATCCTGCCCAAGAAAATATGGATTCACCTGCATTATAGGGGTTGCTGTAAATGGATTGGTCTATTCAAAACATCTGATATTGCTTCTTCGTCTTTATTTTTTTTTTTTTTTTAAGAGAGGACCAATAAACCAATTTAGCTTCATCCTATGATATTACCACTTTATAATAATCTTATTTTCCTTAGTTACCCCTCTTTTTCGTTATTTTTTCTTTTTGTTTCTATTTTAATAATTTGTAAGTTTAATTTACTTGTTTATTTTTTTAAATTTTTTCTCTTCAAGGGCAAGCTCGATGCAATTGATGTGGAGAAAACCGCTGAATTTGTGCTCTCATGTATGAACTTTGACGGCGGGTTTGGTAGCCGTCCAGACAGTGAGTCCCATTCAGGGCAGGTGAGTGCAGTTTGAGTAAGTATTAATAAGATGCTCTGCATATTTACAAAGCTCAGCTTCATCTGACACAAGATTAACTAGAGTTGCAGAAGACAATATTGTGCCAATCTGATATTAATATTGTGAGTTGCCAGAACTTCTATAGAGACTAAACATTGCGCAGATCAGTACGAAAATTTCAGTGATTGCGCAGGTCAGAGTTGCCAACATTGTGTGAAAATTTTGTGTGAATTGATTGGACGGTTTTTGAAATATTAGAAAAAAAGATATCTCGATAATAATTTGGCACACAGTGTAGTATCAATTGTAAGAAGTGATGCAAAGGTCAGGGCCAGAATGGTCAGCAATTGGCCACAGTGCCTTGTGAGTGTGGTATTCTGACAGAATACCACACTCACATAGCTGTATAGTTTGAATATGATTGGTGAGAAGACACAACCTTGTCTCATGCCCCTTTCTATTTTCGTGTATTTACTGAATTCATTTTTTGTTCATATGAAGGCGATTTTGTTTTGTTTTGTTTTACAGCATATCAACCTCAATGGGTTATTTAATGCTGACAAGATTTTTATTGCTGGTAATATTTTTTTTTTCAAAAATGTATTGGTGGTAATAATTTTTTCAATGAATTACCTTTGTCTGGGTTTTGAATATCAGTCCAAAATGGCATAAATTCAATGGTGGCTTGCAAGAATTCAGAATCATTGGTACATCTCCTACATACAAACTGGGAGACCAGCTAAGACTGCCCGTGCAAGAACACCAAGCCAAAGTGCGACATGTGTTCATGTGACATCATTCCTTCTACTACCTTTTCTAGATTGTGACGTAAAAGTTTTCCCTCCCAGCTGAGTGATGATTAACTTATTAGTAGTCAGTCAACTCTATGCAAAATAAAGGAAGCCCATTTTGTCTATATCACTACACCTCCTGGAAACGAAGAGGTTTTATGCCCTTTGTTGATTTGTGCCTTCTTCAAACTATAGTACGAGATCTTATATATCTCTCTCTCTATCTCTCTCTCTCTCTTGAGGTGTGTACCTTGTTCTTTTTATTGGGGATCTGGGTCTGGATTCAACCTCATGCTGATCTTCTGACTTGATTTTGGATTCATGTGAACTATCCTCCATAGTTTCTTTACTACTATGTTTGCTTTCTCTATCAGAAGCACTCATGCTTTCCTCCCTTTCAGGTTCTCCCTCCTCTCCATCTCAACTTCTTTATCATCAATTCTACATCTTATATGATCAGAATAAGCCAATAAATTCTGTCCACTTGTTATTATAGTCGTATTATGACCCTTTTGTGCAATAAAGTTAGCTTTTTCAGGACTTGATACTCTGTCTTTCTTTTTTCTTTTTTTTGTAACATATTTTTTCATTTGTTGAATAGGACATTGTTATAAGCAATCTAATTTATCTTTCCATCAGCACAGAGGGACTTTGCATTCTACCATTATGTGGAATAGTTCTATAACTATTATATCAGTAATAGTTTCAGTAGGTAACTATCTATGGTGTCTCTGGATGGGGAAAATGCCTACAACCCCATTTTCACTGTCTGCACCATTCTGCACTCCTTCCACATCTATTAGATCTAAAGGATCATCCCTTGTTCCCTGCTCAGGATATAGTTTACTGGTTCTTTTTTTTTTTCTTCTACCAGGGCTATAATGATTTAACTGTCTTAACATTTTGGTGATCAAACTAATCAGTCACTGTAACTTTTCATTATGAGCGTACTGGGTTGGCAGTTTTCTGGCTGCTGCTTCTGACTGGTTGTTAGGAGCCTGAACTCTGTCTATATTTCTCAGATGAGGTATTATGTACACTACATTATTCATACTATTGTCTTCTTCTTTGCTGCCATATTTATTACAATGTTTCAGCTGTTGAAGAAGGCTAGAGCATACAATGGCCAAAACATTGTAATAAATCTGGTCACAAAGATGAGGACAATAGTCCGAATAATGTAAATAGTGAACCTGAACTCTTTGGTACCACTTAGAGAGGCTGCTCTGATCAATAGTTGTGTAATATGAGGGTATTTGTAGGTGTCCCTGCATGTATTTCTGGTGGGCAACCCCAAGGCCACATTATACTCTGTTTATCAGCCACATTTCTGGTTAGTTTGTATTGCCATGGACGATAGATAGAATTAATTATTGTGGTCTTTTCTCTTTCTCCTCAACACAAATCTCATGAAAAACACAATGAAAAGATATACAATAAACCAGTAAACAAAAAACCCACCGATGCCCACCCCAACCTTTCTTTCTCTTATATTCATGGTATCAGTTCCAATTTTTTCAGCTTAGAATCTTTTCTCTTGGAATCGTCACCAGATCTCTTTGCCCTCTGCGAAACCAATTTAAACTCTTCCATTGCTACCAATGAATTTATGGTTCTTCCTCCTTACCGAATAGATTCCAACACTCACATGCATGGCTTTGGTGTTTACGTCTGAGATAATCTGCCAATGACTGGGGAATTGTTTCTCAATGGCCCAAATAACTCTTTCAAGTGCTTTGTCTTTCATTACTAAATTCTGTCAGCTATCTCTTTTTCATTTATAGCACCCCTTTTCTCAATACTGCAGTATATTTCTCTCCATCCATCTGCATACATCTTTGTTGTCAGCAACTTTAATGTGCCCCACAGCACGTGGCTTAAACATTTTGCCAGTATTCAGGCATTAAATTTTTCCAGTACCCTAATCCCTTACTTAAATCGTGGATTTCACTACTCGTTTCCCTAGCAAAACCAAGCAACACTCTTCTCTATTTGATTTATTTCTTACCTCCTCTCCTCACTCTTGCTGCTCTTTGCAGCACTGCCATTTTGGTAACTCAGATCACTCTGTGGTATCTTCCAATCATCTATTAAACAGAAACCTCCTATTCATAAGAAATTCCTGATGATCATCAGAAGACCCGACTGTAATGAAATCCCCGCCTCAAAAAAAAATCCTAAAGACGTCAAGAAATGCTTTTATCAGCTCCTTTCAATGTAACTATCCATATTTTAGTGGTCTTACTCAAAACCCGTACTGTTGCAGTTTTAGAAATTCCTTACACGAATTAACAATTTAAACAGGGATGATTCGTGTATAAGAATTACCTCCCTTAGATAATGTATAAGAGTTATCTCCCTTAGTCAATATTTTATTCTGCAACGCTTGAAGATTTTTTAGTGAAATTATTTCATCTAGAAAATTACAGTTTAAATAAACTTTAATAAATTAAGTTTTATAAATTTTATTTTTGCGCAAAGTGTGTTGAATAGCACTATTTAAATAAACTGGTCCATTTGTAAAAAATTTGGAGAAATAATTTTTCTAGGTTACCATTAATTACCATTCCTCAAGAATCAAAAAAATATTTGATTTTTTTATCAGTTTAGAAGGTAGATTCATTTTATTATATTGATACAGTGTAAAATCGATCCTTGACATTTTACAGAGTTACCTGGACTTAACTGTTCTGCATACAAAACCAACATTTTGTTTTAAATAAAGAAGAAATGGGTATATACATTTTTTTAATTAAGGAACAAAAATTTATATAAATTAATAAAATTATGTTTATGTATGCGCTAAAAAAAAAAAAAAAAAAAAAATCCCCCAAACTAAAAAAGGTTATAAAGAAAATTAAAAAAAACTTTGAAACTTTAAAAATTCAAAAAATTCAAAAAAAAATCTGTAAATATCAATGATGTAAGCACAGTGTAATGACAAAGTATGCAGATATAGGCTTTAAGAATGCTTTATTCAAATGAAAATACAAGGTTCACGTATAGTGTCCTTTTATAGTCCCAGTAAATAGAAATAGCTCTCTCAAAGAGGGGAGTAACAAAACAAGGGGAGACCCCCTCTTGATTAATCACAGCATCCTTCTGTAGAGCCACATTTCTGTTGCCTCAAATCTCTTCATCTGAAGATTGTCCTACATTCACTGCCATATAGGAAGACCGATATTGCATAACACTTCAACATATATTTTTTTTTTTTTTTTTTTTTTTTTCTAACAGAATTTTCTTGTTTCTTAATACGTTGCTTAGCTTTTGGAAGGCATCACTTGCACCTTCAGATTTTAGTGTCACATTTTTTTGTCCTCTTTTAAAACACTTCCCAAGTAAATTTAATGACATGCACAAGTTAGCTTTTAAGAAACAGGTAGGAAAATATCCTCTGAAGATTTCTTTGTTGGTCTTTTAAAAAGTTTATTTCCTTTTACAAATGATTAAGTTACCTTTTGTTTTTTAAATTATTTTCAGATTTACTGCTGCGTGGGTTTCTTAGCGATAACAGGAAGGCTCCACCACGTTAATGTTGATATGCTTGGATGGTGGCTTTGTGAACGCCAGCTGCCTTCTGGTGGACTGAATGGTAAGAAAACGTATTTATATACTACAACCACTACTCCCAGTAATGGGTATTTGACAAGATAGGAGAACATACAATGAGCCTTTTAAGGGACCAAGATAACAAAAACCTATTAAAAATGTCATAAAAATGAAGTAGGATTAAAATGAATATAGGAATAAAATGTTGCTGCCGATACTTCAGTTTGAACATGGATCACCAGAGAGCAAGTACAGTCAGCCTCATCTTGAAATAATTAGATCACATGACGGGTAAAGGAAAAAAAAAAAAAATATATATATATATATATATGGGAATTAGTGGCGTCTGACTGAGTATTGTTTGTAGGTGTTACTATTATTGTATCGCTGATTTACGAAGTCTCTCCCACAACCAGTCATTACAAAATATGGGGAAAAAGAAAGCAAACAGATTTGACAGCCAGTGAAATGAAGTCTGTTCTCAGTTTTTATGACCACCAGAAGAGGACTGATGAAATTTCCTCAAACTATTTCATCATTTCCTGGAACTCCTCATTTAAAGAGAACAGTTCCAAAGTCTTCAACTATAGCTTAAGATTTTTTTGTCAAATCTGTATCTCCGTTTATTGTCGCATTCATGTAAAGCTTTAGTTTGACATTCTGCATCATCTTGGCTTATATCCTGCAGAAGGAGTCATACAGGAAGTAGCACATATAAGTTATCCACATATTGTTGCGAATGAGCCGTGTTGGTCAGTATTAGCTGATCTGTTTGCCAATCTTAGTCAATCTTTGCTAACATACATCTGAAGAACAACATTGACTTGATCGGCTGAAATAATGTGGTAATACCAACAGCAACAAAAAAAGTTCAGTCATTCAATTAATTCTTGGAATAAGTGAGCATAAGTTGCAATTCCTGGAGATTCTGTAAATGTTTATTTTGGAGACATGAAACCTAAAACAGAAGGAATAGCGAAAAATCTAATTTCTGACATAGTCAAGAAGAAAAAACAAATGCTGCTACTATAATATGATATCTACCATCCATTTTCTACTATGGTATGATATCTACCATTCATTTTCTACTATGGTACGATATCTACCATCCATTTTCATCTATTATATCTACCATCCATTTTCTACTATGGTACGATATCTACCATTCATTCTCTACTATGGTGTGATATCTACCATCCATTTTCTACTATGGTATGATATTTACTAAATGTTGGAAGTATGAAATATGTTAGGGTTTGGAGTCAGTGTTAGGGTTGGGGGGGGTTAGGATTAAAGGCAGTGAACAGTGAACTGGTTAGGTATTAAAAATCATTAACAATTACAAAAACATTTTTTTTATACAGGTTTGTAAGCATAACATATAAAAAAACTAAACAGGTCATCGTTTTATTTGGAATTTTCAATTAAAACACAAGTAAGTAGGTTACAAATACATGTAATATCATATTGAACAAACAAACTAGTACTAACGGATGATTTAATGCTTTTTTTTTTTTTTTCATTTTTACCAGTTTTTGAAAGATGATATCAGAAAACATTATTAAGGAGAGAGACATCAATTCTAATGCCTTATTTATACACTGAGAACAATGTTTTAGGGTGACCTTCACTGTTCGAGTGGGAGGCCAGGATTTCTTTCTTCTTTGAGATTTCTCTCAAATGATGACCTGGAAAATTTGTTTGCCCATGAAACAATCATGTTACTGATGCCCTATGCCGTATATGAACAATGCAAATGTTCTTCACCTGTGGACCACTTGCAAGGAATCCATGGATTTCTTGGCAATATTGATCACACAGAAAATGGCACTGCATGGAATTAATGGCATTAATTGTTTAGCGTTGCCTTAACCTATTGAGTACTGCAGCTTGACCATCATGAAAAATATCCAGTCAACAATGATGAAAACTGATTGCTAATTCTGTGCTCCAATCTGTAGTCCAGGTGTCCAACTACTACCATTTATATGATCACTGCGGTTCCTGAAAAATAAAATACCATAAAAAATAAATAACTAATGTCAGGTGGAATAGACGTTAAGAACCAAACTGGAGGTGTTTGTAAAATACCAGCCACTTTAGACCATGTAAATTATTTATGAAACCTGGATTTCATTATCTTGGATGAAGTTTCTATGATCCCTTCATTTGCTCTTCATGTTATTGATAAAACCTTGCAAGATATCACTGGCATTGCTGCTGTTTTTTGTGGTAAAGTTGTTCTCTTGGAGAAAACTTTAGACAAGTCCTACCCATATTCCGAAGAGGAACTCGTGAGGCAGTCATTGAAATCTGTATAAAAAAATTCTTCACTATGGCTGATTTTCATCCAATACAGAATAAGCCAAAACATCAGGACAACAGCAGATCAAAGGGAATTTGCAGCCTGGCTCTTGCATCTTGTCAGTGGAACATCAGCAGCTTCACAAGATCCTAATCTTGCTGTTGATGTTCTCCCCTCTATGGGGGTGGGGGTCTTACTTGGGAGACATATCTGCGAAGTGTTGTCGCGCTTTTGAAGGTTGTCCTGATGTTATATGGGCCGCAGATCCTTTGTATTTTCTCTGATAAGCCCTTCACACAAGGCAGGCAGGTATAGAGGAGAACATGACTAAAGACTGTGTGTATGCTATCCCGTGCAGTGGCGGAAAGAAATATAAAGGGAAGATAGGCCACCTTAAGGTAAGGCTTCAAAATCACCAGAAAGCTGTAACACAAGGGGAAGTGGAAAAATCAGGCATGGTTAACCACACATGTATGGAAAGGAAAGGGAGATGACCACCCTCTGTGGGATCAAGTTGAGATCATAGACAAAGAACATCATTGGAAAATTCGTAAACTTCAGGAACATACTAGGCCACAAAAATCTCCTGAGCCAACCAAGCATAGAAATGAATACAATATGGGTACCAGTAATAAGGAGGAGTGATAACAACAACAAAAAGCAATATGAGCTCTGGTAAAAAACAATGATAACAGCAAAAATTGCAATATGAGCTCTGGTAAAAAATCTCCAATGATAACAGCAAAAATTGCAATATGAGAACTGGTAAAAATGGTTGCTGAAGACATTAGGTTTATAATACCCAGAAATTCATACACAGATGTCCTAACACATGGCACAGTGGATAAAGGTGTTGGTTAGATCCAGTGACAGGACCCAAAGAGTATGAGTTCAATACCCGGTTAAGGCAGTGGAGAACTTTCAGAGGGATAACAGGAGATAACTGACATCCATTAAACATTAGACATTCCAAACATGGCAATGTGACAAAGATGAACTAGAATAAGTCTACCCCTTTAAAAACACAAAAAAATAAAGGGTTCCTGTTTCTCTCCTCATTTATGATGGAAGAAACCACCTGGTCCCAAGGATTCCAACCAGGCATTGAAAGAGTTGTGACAATAGCCTTTAGGGAGGTTATAATGTAAATGAGGATGTTTTCTTGAAGACAGCATCTTCAGCAAGTTTTTTAAAAACAATAAAAAGAACCTCCCCCATCCTTTGTTAACTGAATATCCTCCAGACTCTTCAAATCTTTTGAGGAAATGTTGAATCCTATTGATAGTTCTTCCTAAACTGATTATTTGTCCAATGATGTTCTTCCAACTGATATTTACTGTTTCCAAAGTTTGAGTCTAACCTAATATTAATATTTGATTTTCGTTTCTTCCAACATCATGCTTTTCTTTTTTTCATGAGTGCATTAAATTCCATATGGTAAAATCTTTATAGCAGTTGAAGGTTTTACAAAGTTTTGAATTAGAAATGGACAAGTTTTCATAGTTGACAAGACATTATCTTCTCAACCAATATATTGTTTGGGGAAATCAGAAAAATATCTTAATCAAATCTCGGATCCATGTTGTTTTTTTTATATTTCTTGTTTCATTTTCTTTAAAAAAGCTGAATTTTAAAGTTTCTAGAATAACTAATAAAATCCATCTCATTCAGTTTCCCCATAGTTTTTATTTATTATTCTTAAATATCCCATTGTGAACAGATAAGATTTGTTAAAAGAACCTGGACGTAAATTAATGCAGTTGTCCTCCAGTAACACCTTCAAGTCTTTTACAGGGCTTTTAAAATCATGTCATATTGAGAGTTTCATTTCAATGTAACTAATAAAATTTGAATACCCCACCGCCACTTTTGTTAACTTGCAAAAATGTGCAGGTCCACCAAACTCTTCAAAACTATGATTGTTTATCCAATGTCTAATGATGTTGTAAATGATTTTCCATCCAGCATCTAAGGACAAAACTATTTCCATAAGATTTACTGTTTCAAAGCTTGTGTTGGGTCGACTCTAATATTAATACTTGATTTTGGTTTCTTGGAGACAGTATTCACCAATGTTATAATTATTATCATCCTGAATTCCTGCTTTTTTAATTCAGGAGTCCACTCACATTCAATGCCCCGATAGTAAAAATTTTATATATTTTTTTTTTTGTCAGGAGTATATCATAAAAGTTTCCACTAAACTGTTTAATTAACCAACAATTCCTAGAAAGGTGTTATATAATTTGTTTGTGTCTTGGTTAATTTTGTGAGAAGAAAAATTGGTTTTTTATATGTTCAATTACAGCTCCTAAGTGGAAGGCATTTACAAATCATTTCAAATAAGTAAAATTTGACAACTGGATTAAAGGCATAAAGTGAAACAACTTAATTGATAAAATTATATTTTCTTTACTCCAAATTTAAAATTGTCTTGGAATATTGAATGTCCAAAACTATGATTGTTTAACTAATGAATTCAGTTTCAAATAATATTAATGTTTGTTGGTCGAGAACCTCTTAAAAATGTTATAAAAGGCCAATAATTGAACAGCTTTTTTTGAGTCTATTAACATTAAACAATAAAATATAAATAATTTTTATGGACTGGAGAAGTCATTACCTTCCCAACAAAAATATTTTCTTACTAATTTGAGTCTGCAATACATTACAAAGTTTCAAAATTAATGTTTTCTACAACCTCTTAAAAAAACAAAAGGAGGCATGAACAGCTTTGAACAATGAAAGTGAAATAATTTATGGATGCTTGAAATATTTTGAGTCTGTTACAAATCTGTCACAAATCTTGTTAATGTACCTTCATCGTAAATATTTCTCATTTAAATGTAAATTTAGTCAGTTGAAAATGTGAGTTTCTTGAAAGAATATACAAAAAAGAATTTTGTAACTTCTAATCATGAGACAAAACATTAAATTATTTCCCTTATAAAACTGAAATCACATCATAAAATCTTTGTAAATATATTTCCATCAAAGAACATTTTGTTGTGTCAAAATATTGTAAGCCATTGTTTTTTTTTATTGTGTTTTGATTATTTCAGACAGAAAATGGTATATTTTTTATGATTTCCAACTTCCTACAAAAACATTTTTAATGATCAAAACTGCTCACAGACTTTCCTAAGCAACTTTCCTGAAATTCTGTCAGAATTGTTCCAGTACCAAAACAACAAAATATTTGCCTTTTTAATATTTTGTTTGTTTGTTTTATTTCTTTGTCTTACATTGTGATTTGAACTGCAACAAGAAACTTTATTCGAACTATTGTCCTCATCTTTGTCGACATATTTATCACAACATTTCGATCGTTGTACACTCCGGCTTTCTTCAGGTGGTTGGAATGTCGAACTGAACCCTTTATTTCGCTCACTGCGGTAGACTGTTCTAGTTTCACATGCTATGTCTAATGGATGTCAGTTATCAGTTATCTCCTGATTAATTCCCTATCCAAGTTTTCCACCACCTTAACCAGATATTGAACTCATACTCTTTGGGTCCTGTCACTGGATCTAACTAACATCCACTGTGCCATTTATCCACTGTGCCATGTGTCATAGTCCAAATAATGTAAATAGTGTACAAAATATCTCAGAAATATAGACAGATAATGAGCAACTTGTTTAGGCATTTTGTTGATAAAGTGCTGTCAATTGTAAAAATAAAAATAAAAGTTGTCTAGTATTGCAGCTTTAGCAATTACAGCTACATAAAATATCTGAAGCCGCAATTATTTTAATGGTAGATATTTTAAAATTAAAAAAAATATTTGCCAAAACACGTTGCTTGTAATTATGACATAGTTAAAGCAGGGAAAATAGAATTAAATCAAGTGTAAATTCATTCATGTGTTTCTGATTGATAGTTTTCTGAGTTTTATTATTGGTACTATTTAAATAGAGTGGTCCACTTATAAAAAATAGGAAAACATTTTCTGGAGAATAATTTTTGTAGATTAGCATAGACCTTCCTCAAGCCACATTATTTGACAATATCAAAAAATATTGATTTTTTTTTTATCAATTTAGTAGGGGGTCCTGTTCATAATATCAATATAGTGTAAAATCGATTCCTGACTTTTACAGTTACATGATCTTAGCTTTTTTTTTATTTAAAAATGTTATGCCTTGAAAATGTGTTTATGTCATTGACATCTGCATTTTTTCATACTTTTGTTAATTTATGTAAATTTTTATTATTTAATTAAAAATGTATATATCCATTTCTTCTTCACTTAAAAGGAATTTATTTTGTAAAAATTTTAAAAGACAAAAGAAAGATTTTCATCTGATAAACAATTATTTGTTCAAAATTGTATACAGGATGCAATGGATGAATTATCATCTAAATTATGCAAAAATGAAAATAACACTAACAGATATATTTACCAAAATTACAAAAAAATATCTTGAAATACTAAAAAGTAAATTTATTCAATAAAATTTCCATTGACTTCAACCATGACCTCCAGATGACTTAGGAATTTCCTGCATCTCTTCTGGACGGTCTCCTTGTTTAAGTTGGTGACTGCAATTCTTGCCTTCAGTTCATCTTTGGTACTACAAGGTTTTGTTGGTCTCTCACTCAACTGTGCTCCACACATAATGAAGGGGGTTGGAATCTGGGGGGTTAAGTGGCCAGATGTAAGGGGTGATGTGGTGGCAGAAATTGTCTGACAGCCATGACTGGGTTCTCCTGCTTGTGTGGCATGGTGCAGAGTCCTGCTGCCAGACATAGGGTCTTCCAGAAGCCACCCTCTTGACCCAGGGCAGCACTACCTCTTTAAGGCACTTGATGTAGGCCTCTGTTGAGTCTGAGACCCTGTGGGAAGATGAATGGGGGCATAATGTTGCCATCACTAGTGATCACTCCAAACTCCATGATGTTGACTGGATCTATCATCCATCTCTTTCCAAATGCTCTGCACTGTTCTCAAATTGATACCAAAACACTCTGAAATGTTCATATTGAGCTTCCAGCACAAATGCCAAGCAATACAGCATGCTGTTTCCAAATTTCTGGTGGAGTGAATTGCATCACGGTGGTCTTTTTCTCATAGACAGTACCCAAATGACCTTACTATATTGCACAGTCAACAAAATCAAAAACAATATGCATGCACAAAATTAAAAATATAAAATGGCGACAATTTACCCATCTCACTACATTTTTACATTTGTTCTTTAATTAAAAATGTATATATCCATTTGTTCTTTCTTTAACTATTTTGCTAAACAATTGCTAGTGCTTGTTTAAAATATTTCAAAAAAAAATACATAAAAATGTATGTGAGCAAATATATGAATATAGATCCGACAGTATGAAGAAAAATATACAGAAAAAACAAACAAAAATCTTAATATGCAATTATGCTGTATTAATGTTAATATAAAGTCAATGTCGGACGTTTCGGTCTATTTTAGACCATCATCAGGACATATTCATAAAACATAATTAACATTCCTATAACATATAAAATTCAACATGAAAAAGGCGATGGACATAGTAATCCAAACAGATTTATATTTTATTTAATATTTTGAAATCATCTTAAATACGCTTTCCCAACACCGCCCACGTGAAGACGACGTTGATCATATTTAAACGAACGCTGATCTTATATAAAATTTAAAGTTATCTGTTTGAACTATTTTTAAGTCCATTTTTCATGTTGAATTTTATATGTTCTAATGTTAATTTGTTTTATGAATATGTCCTGATGATGGTCTAAAATAGACCAAACATTCGTTTATTGACTTTATATTAACATTAATACAGCATAATTGCATATTAAGATTTTGGTTTGTTTTTTCTGTATATTTTTCTTCATAAAAATGTATATATGTTCTTTATTTTGATTTAAAAGAAATCTTTTGGCAAAATAAAAATAAAATCCCTGTTTTCATATGCGCATATATTACTGAAGTAAGCAATGTTTCAAACTTGACATTTGTAAACAGTTTAGTTCCAATAACTCTGTAAAAATTAAGGATCAATTTTACACCGTCTCAATATTATATGTCAAAACCAAATAGATATTTTTCAATTCCTCCAAATATCATGCTTTGAAAATGGTTTTAATGATTGCTAATCTGCAAAAATTATTTCCAAAAAATGCTTCTCTATTTTACACTAGTGGACCAATCTATTTTAGTGCCAGATTCTCAAATGTGCTTCCTAAGGTAATGAAGACATGCATTTCTATGATAATACTTCTTTTCAAAAAAAAGAAAAAAAAACAACTTAGGACTACTATATCTACTACTATTAGTTGTCAATAAACAATATGGTGGGGAGTGACAGTCAGAAAAAAAGAGAATGTAGATATATGGCTAAATTTGAATTTCATCCACTGATAGGCTTCTCTAGCTGAAACAGTAAAGTTTAGTCCATGTCAAATAGGCTCTGAAAGAGGCAGGAAGTGAGTTCAAATCTCATTAGAGGCTATTTTTTGATTTCTGATTCATGTTGCTCACTTGGGTCATAAAATGGAAAATGTCTCAACAGTCATGATGAAAAGCAACAGAAATTAGATGAAAGATAAACTAGTCTGAAATGAATCATTTAAAAAACACTTTATCAAAGTGTTGTAGCATACCTACGGATAATAACAGGCATGCCTCCATTCCCATAAATACAGTAGTGAATACTGTATGTGGTCTAGAGATGGAGATTCATTGTGGAATTCACTTGATCACTTCTAGCAGTTGACTACTTCTTCTATGCACTGCTGGCAAATCTTATATGTGTTGTTCTTGTCCTAAGTATTATCATTCATTATCAACCTTTGTGTGATTATTCTATTCAGTAACCTTCCCTGTTACAGCACAAAGAAATTCAGGTGACACTTAAAATTTAATTTTACAAAATTTAATTTTTTTCTAAATGAATTACGACTTAAGCTTTTGATTAATATAAAAAATTATTTAAGAATATTTATTTTTTTCTTTTGTATGTTTTTTTTATCAGGCCGACCAGAGAAATTGCCGGATGTTTGTTATTCATGGTGGGTTCTATCGTCACTGAAAATCATTGGACGGCTGCACTGGATAGACAAAGTAAGAAAATGAAAATTTTATATTTACATCATCAAGGAGAATTAATAAAAGTGTAGCATTTATTGAATTAGCCAAAAAGTTTTTGTTTTGTAATTAATTTTTACCCAGTGAAAGACTCAAGAGCCACTCAAGATAGAGGATTACTGAATCGGGTTTTTGTAAGAGCATAAGGAGGAGTAAGAAGTGCATATTATGAAGATATGTAGGATAGATAAATCTTTACCCTACATTTGAAGAGGTTACAATCATAGTGATCAAGGAAGCACAATCTCGGGAGTCTGTTCCACAGTTCTTGTGAAGAATCTCAATGAATGAAACACCATCTTTACCAAAAGAATGCAAAGGGGTCAATCAATCCTGGATACATGGCATGACAGGTTCAAGCTGTGAAGGTCTGTAGCTTATCTGAACATTTGCCATGAAAGTAGCAATATAGTACTGAGAGGCTAGTGATGTTTCATCTGTGGGAAAGGGGTTGTAGAGTGGGAAATAATTCATCACCCACAGGGCTGCAGAAACATTTTTGAACTCTATCAAAGCCAGTAATGGTTAACCCAAGAGTTGAAAAGATTAAGATTGTAATGATCAGAGAAGCACCCTCGCTGGTGTCCACAAAATAGCAGTTCTTGTGAAGAAGCTGTCTGAAGGGAATGGCAATTTTTTTTTTTTTTTTTTACGGCGATATTTTTTTACGTTATGTTTTGACAAATTTTTTACACGATTTTAACTTAGAAATAAATTTGAGAATGATCAAAATTAATTGCGAAATAAAGCAAATGTCACCCATGAAATAAAAACAATTGTTTGTACAGAAAGTAAGGACCTATGCACATCAAATTGTCTTTAAATTAAGTGGTGGCAAAAGAATTATCGTTGAACTTTTAAAAGGTAAACTTACATATTAGAGAAATACTTAAATGCAGTGATCAATTTTGAGTTCTTTTGTAGTTTATAATTTTTTTTCTGCTTTTTTTCTATGATTTGATTTGGTTGGTTTATTTTTTCCAGGATAAATTGGTGCAGTTTATTCTTGCTTGTCAGGATGATGAGACTGGTGGATTTGCTGATCGACCTGGGGACATGGTAAGTCTTTTAGATTTAGAGGCTGTTGAGACAAGAGCATGATTTCAAAAAAGTTGAATGAAATATACCATCTGAAAAATTGGGAGAAATATTCTTTTTGACACATTTTTAAAATTCTGTAGATTCAATAATTTAAATTGTACTGCATCCATCTCATGCATGTGCATTCCTCAGGTAGCCAAATAAATGCCTTATAGCAATTAAAATGCTGAAGACCTGTTCATCAGCTGGTTTATTCAAAGCTGAAATGGTGAAATCAGAAACTTGAGACTAGTTTAGTCAGAATATCAAAATAAATAGATAAAAGGAAGGGAAAAAAGAAATATGACAAAGGGGTCGAATGCTGAACGTAACAGGAAATGAGAGTCTAAACACATAAAGGAGGTAGCAAGATGTTATACACTGTTGATACTATCACATGAGGATAGTATTAGGTGGATAAGAAAGTAAGAATTGTGTGCTTCCACCTTCTGCTTTATTGTACAAAAAATTACAATAATTTAAAAACAAATGCTTGGTTAAAAAAAGTTTGAGATTAAATAATTTAAAATATTTCAAAATGCTTCAGATTAAATATTTTGAAAAATGTAAATAAATTAAAAAATGCTTCAGGGGTTTCCAAAAAAGGGAAAATAAATTTAAAATATTTAAAATGCTTCAGATTAAATATTTTGTTCAGATTAAATATTTGAAATGGTTTGGATTAAATAATTTAAAAACAGAATGCTTCAAAAATATTTTGAAATGGTTTTTAAATAATTTAAAATATTTCAAAATGCTTCAGATTAAATATTTTGAAATGGTTTGAGATTAAATAATTTAAAATATTTCAAAAAATGCTTCAGATTAAATATTTTGAAATGGTTTGAGATTAAATAATTTAAAATATTTCAAAATGCTTCAGATTAAATATTTTGAAATGGTTTGAGATTAAATAATTTAAATATTTATTTCAGATTAAAATTTTGAAATGGTTTGAGATTAAATAATTTAAAATTTTCAAAATGCTTTTAAATAGAAATGGTTTGAGAAATAATTTAAAATATTTCAAAATGCTTTGAATTAAATAAAATGTTTGAGATTAAATATTTTCAGATTAAAATGGTTTGAGATTAAATAATTTAAAATATTTCAAAATGCTTCAGATTAAATATTTTGAAATGGTTTGAGATTAAATAATTTAAAAATATTTAAGATTAAATATTTTGAAATGGTTTGAGATTAAATAATTTAAAATATTTCAAAATATTAAATATTTTTAAATTTAAAATGCTTCAGATTAAATATTTTGAAATGGTTTAAAAGATTTAAATAATTAAAAATGGTTTATTTCAAAATATTTCAGATTAAATATTTTGAAATGGTTTGAGATTAAATAATTTAAAATATTTCAAAATTTCAGATTAAAATTTAAAAATATTTCAGATTAAAAGATTAAATATTTTGAAATGGTTTGAGATTAAATAATTTAAAATATTTCAAAATGCTTCAGATTAAATATTTTGAAATGGTTTGAGATTAAATAATTTAAAATATTTCAAAATGCTTCAGATTAAATATTTTGAAATGGTTTGATTCAAGATTAAAAATCAAAATTTAAAATATTTCAAAATGGTTTGAGATTAAATTAAATTTTGAAATGGTTTGAGATTAAATAATTTAAAATATTTCAAAATGCTTCAGATTAAATATTTTGAAATGGTTTTTAAATAATTAAAAAAAATTTAAAATATTTGAAAAAATGATTAAATAATTTAAATATTTCAAAATGCTTCAGATTAAATATTTTGAAATGGTTTGGTTTCAAAATATATTTTCAGATTAAATATTTTAAATGGTTTGAATTAAATAATTTAAAAAAATGCTTAAAATATTTTCAAAATGTTTGAGATTAAATAATTTATTTCAAAATTTGAAATGGTTTGAGATTAAATAATTTAAAATATTTCAAAATGGTTTCAGATTAAATATTTTGAAATGGTTTGAGATTAAATAATTTAAAATAGATTAAAAATATTTTGAAATGGTTTGATTAAAGATTAAATAATTTAAAATATTTCAAAATGCTTCAGATTAAATATTTTGAAATGGTTTGAGATTAAATAATTTAAAATATTTCAAAATGCTTCAGATTAAATATTTTGAAATGGTTTGAGATTAAATAATTTAAAATATTTCAAAATGCTTCAGATTAAATATTTTGAAATGGTTTGAGATTAAATAATTTAAAATATTTCAAAATGCTTCAGATTAAATATTTTGAAATGGTTTGAGATTAAATAATTTAAAATATTTCAAAATTTAAAATGAAATGGTTTCAGATTAAAAATAAAAATTTTAAACTTGATTAAATATTTTTGGAGATTAAATAATTTAAAATATTTTAAAAGTTTGAAGAAAATTAAAAATATATTTTGAAATATAACTGAAAAAGTGAGATTAAATAATTTAAAATATTTCAAAATGCTTCAGATTAAATATTTTGAAATGGTTTGAGATTAAATAATTTAAAAATTTATTAAATATTTTGGAAATTAAATAAAAAAAGTATTTAAACCATTAGTCCTCAAAGTTTAATTAAATAATTTAAAATATTTCAAAATCCAGAATAGAACCTTTTGCCAACATGTCTCCAGATGGTTGTCAAGAGAATAGAAGAGGTGGTAATCTGTTGGTGCAAGGTCTGCATCAGCATGTCTCCAGATGGATGTCAGAATTGTCTTCAAGCCAAGTCACCATATGGTATCCCTGGCCACCCGCACCATACACCCTTGTGATTAACCAATGCTAGTCCTCCTGCTTCGGTGCATGTTGCACATTTTCAAACTGCTGCAAATACATGTCTGCAGTGATGGTTTGGCTTATTGGTAGCAGCTCATAGTGCACCACTTGTCAACTGGTCCATCAGATGACCATGATCTTGTGTGGGTGTAGAGGTGGTCTTGTTGTGTGAGGCACAGGGTCCCATGATGACAAACAATGTCTAGAACACATGGGAGTGTCATACAGGACCCTCTTTTTGACACTGGTGAGCACTCTATCAAATATAGATATGTTACAGTGCTGAGAAACCAGCGAGAAACAGGCTGTCATGCATTTTGTTGCTTGTTTACTTCCAACAGTGTAGTGATTTTCTAAGTGTGGCTTAGATGTGGCAAAAGGCCAAAAGTATGGGGCACCCAGTGAAGATCAAACTCACTACTCAGTCATAACTGATCTAGCAAGACAAGGTTTCTAACCATTACACCATATCGAGGTGCCGTTACTTCCAACACTGTATGGAGGTACGTATTTGTTCAATTTGTACACCTTACCTATGTGGTGCAGGTGGAAGCGTTTGGCAAGCTTGCCACAGGTTTAGCTGTTGTCCTTATCTGTGGCCATCTTCAGGGTCTCATTATCCAGGACCTGTGGACAATATTATCCCCAAAGGCTTGACATATTCAACAACTTGATTTGGCTGCGGACAAACTCATCTTAAAGTCATAAAGCAGACAGTCCTGAACGAGCTGCTTCAACACTGCCATGTTTCTTCGCAGCTGCTCAAGCTATAACTGAAATTTCTTCGACATCCAGGCCATTAAATGTAATTCATACTGTTTAAGTAAAAAGAGAGCATTTACTAAAATAAATTGTATCTATAAAAATAACGTATAAACAGAAAATATAATAAACTAGCAGTAGAGCCCAGCGTTGCCCGGGGATGTAACAGTAAGAGATAGATCAAGTATCAACCATCATAAAGACTGAAAAATAAAATTGACAAAGATTATTGTTTAAGGTTGACGGACATGCATGTCTTAATGATTTTTTTTTTTACGAATTGGTCAAACCCAAACACAAACAAAAACATTGTTTTCAATCGTTATGAGTCTACCGATTGAATAGAATTTTATTATAAACAATTGTCTTGTAAATGGAATTTTTAAAGCATTCTGAATGTAAAAATAAAAAAAAAAAAGTGTGCAAAACAATAAGAAACACTACCTGCCAAAAAAAAAAGTGAAGTTTTTGTTGAAATCGGTTGAAAAATGTAGGAAATCCGATCCCATATATAAATGAACACACACGCACACGCACACACACAACCTGGGTTTTATAATAAGTATAACTCGATATGAGTTACCTCCCTTTCATTTTCATGATGCCTCTTAATTGTGTTTTCAAATTGATTTCATACAAAAACAATTGTGTTTTTCCAATTTTTGGCACTGCCAGAACCACCGCAAGGTAATTTTACGTAGTCCTGTGAAGTTTTGTTGAAATCGGTTGAAAAATTTAGGAAATCCGATCCAATATATAAACCTACAGACACACACACACACACACAATCTGCGTTTTATAATAAGTAAGATAATTGTCAGACTTAATCCGTGTCATTATATGTTGTCATTGTTGGTAATTTGTGAGCAGATATGATCAAGAAAAATTGTGTTTATAAACAGTAATTCAGACTTTGCTAACCAGACACTTCTTTTTGGCTAAATAGTATAGCACATCAGATCAAATGACAGTTTCTGTATAGGAATACAGGTTCGATTCCTGTTGGAGAATGCATATTTTCTAAAAAATTTCTCAAACATTCAAGGCGGTAAATGTAATTAATACTGTTTAATTAAAAAAAAAACAGAGCATTTACTTAAATACATTGTATCTATAAAAATAACATATAAACAGAATATATATATATATATATATATATATATATATATAAAGGTGTTTCATTAAGAGGGATCAAAGTCAGCAGTAAATAAATCAGTGTTATTGGTGAAAATTTATTTATTTCTATATTGGATCATGTTATTTAAGTCATAGCAAATAAAAAAATAATATCGCCGAAATGTCCACTAAATCTGAAAGAAAAAGAAAAAAAATCATTAGACACTTAAACTTAATTCACATTAAAATCAGTCCAACTTATTGGAACACCCTTTATATATATATATATATATATATATATATATATATATATAGTACATACGTAATTACACATGTACATA